CAAATAACCTCAGCTCTTCAGAGACTCTTGTTCCGATCTTCATCGCCTGTCAAATTCTGGATGACATCGTGACCGACATTCAGGAATCCAATATTGCTGATGTATCTCTTGATGATGAGACTCTGTGGAATACCCCTATTCAACGAGTTATCAGTAATCTTACCTCCGGAAATCCTGCTGCTATTGACGAAGGAGCACGGGAGAAGATCTTGGAAGCTACGCAAGAGTTAAGACGCACGCAAGGTGGAGAGCTACATAACATTTCTGCTCTCACAGGCGGGCTAGTGGCGCAGGAAGCACTGAAGGTGATCACAAGGCAGTATGTGCCGCTGGACAACACATGCATTTTCGATGGCGTACGGAGTCGTAGCGAGATGTACAAGTTGTGATAGAGATCCGCAATTTATCTCTTATGGTCTGTCATGACGGACATCAACTTGATATGAATGAATGAGTATCCTCAACACAAATCACCCTTCCTCCGCCCTTATCTAATAATATTGTCAGCTAGACTGATGAGTACTTCGTCTGGACGCCTTGGCGTAGAGGTATTATAGTTCTGTAAATATCATCGTAGGCGCAAATTCAAGGAGAATGCCGAGCACAGCGCTGAACCTAATTGTTTGGAAATCACTATAAGCATCCATTCTTCGATCTGAACATAAGTAGTCTAATAGTCAGAATCATAGTGACAGTCAAATGCTCTTAAAAAGTCTCCAGTACAACAACTGGCGAGGCACGTGCGGGACAGTCGTACTACTACATCCGGTTAGTGTCCCGGCCGGGACTATCGGGGGGAAGTCGCAACGATAAGCTAATAACCTGGAGAGATCACGGAACGTATCTACATGTCAACTAGGACGAGGTCATCGTCCTCACTACCTGTCCATCAAACCACTTCGCATCAGCCACTCTGCTGGTACAATGTATCTCAACATCGTCTCCCCTTGACTGACTCTTATATGAGCAGAGACCTTTGTTATGACTTGTTGAAGATAACCCTTTTGTCTCTTTTTATTGCGAACGGATGATCTCATCTTCTCCAAGTGGCCAGTGGTGGGAGGCTTCTTCTGGTTTACAACGCCTCCTCATTCGGTCAGGGTCTGCCTTTTGACAGAGGTCGAACAAACAAATATGTCGTTCGTTCAAGATACCGCGACCATCCTTGCGACTCCAGCCGCCACAGCTTCGTCATCCGCCATGCAATCTGTCAACTCTACGGCAATTACCACCGCCCAATATTCGCTGCTCTCGTCACCTCGAGCGCTCCTCGCTCTCCCATTGCGCGGTCTGCGTCAGGCTGAGAGCCTTGCGTTTTCGACTCTTCCGCGACAACTCTCGAGGTTAGTGGGGCTACCTGATATGGCGACACGGATCTCGGGTCATGCCCCTGTAACAGGATCGGAGGCCGATGCGATGGTAGCAGCAACACAGGCGGTCGCTGGAGCAGCAGGAGAGGGGATGGCCGATGCTGCCGCACAAACGGAAACAGGGGTTTACTTGGCAGAATTTCTTCAAGCAATGAGGAGATTTAGTGGGTTCTTTTCATATCTGACCAGTCGGTGGTCCTTGGCTTGTTTTACAGTGGTAAGCAATAAGCACCTGACACGGACCTGAATATCCTGACACGCCTTAAAGGGTCTAATTCTGAATCGAATCACGATCTATGCTTCGACCAGACGACATCTCACCCTAGACTTTCACCGACGCATGGCGCTGCGAATCATTCCCATTGTATTGTTCATCTCTCAGATCGTCGTCTTACTTCGTGCTATACGGTGTCAAACATCTCCCGATTACCCCCTCATCCGTTACGGTACCCCCGGGAAACGGTTGTCGCTTGATCATGCTGGTGGAGGCGGGTTTCTCTATTCTCTCAGTTCCACAATTTTATCATGGGAGTCCGATCAACAATCTTGCAGCGCGGTGAAGATGGGTCGGCCCGTCAACGAATCGGATGTTCCTTACGGCTCATTCGTTTTCTTGTGGCCTGTTTTCTTGCGGCTCTGCCTTAGCCACTTTGTTGAGACCCTCTCTTGCGCTTTGCAGGGAAGAGCAGTCGTGACCGAGGCTGGCATGTCTATTTTTGAGCATTCTCTTGCCTTCGCCGAGGCAGAGTCGATGATAAGCCAGTCCATTGGGCTTGGGTTATTTGGGCTTCCCAAGCACGCCAGCAGCAAGGACACCTCGTTATCGTCCAGCGAGTCCGCCCACTCAGCTCTCCAGCTGCTTAGCAGAGGGCAGGTCTTGGAACGAATGAACGTTACTCCTGAGTTGCTCTTAATTGCTTTGATCTCTTGTTGCAACAGCTTGACATCCAACATTTTGGATGTGCTCGGTCAACAAAGCCGGTATCGCCTATTCAATACCGCTTTCTGGGGTCTTTGCTTTATGTCCGCTATGGTATGGGGTCTATTGGCCGGCTCACCGACGGGAAGCGACACTGGAGTACTGAAGTTTCCCACGGTCTGCATTGTAGACTTTGTGCCTCACCTATTGATATTACTAGGCATTGTCATTTGTGCGATTATTTATGTTATCGCTCTCGTGGTCACGGCTTTCTCATTACCACTGGACGCTGGGCAGCCGCTGTCACTTCGCGAACGATTTTCACTCGCCCACGAAAACATGCAAGGAGCGAACCAGATTCGGAATATCCGCTTCAACCGGCATGAGGATTTCTACACCACGTTACTCCGAATTGGGTACACTGCTTTAACCGCTGCTAGTGAAGCAGTTTTTTTGAATGAAGGGAAAGCGGTCGTTGCACGTCGCATGACATGGTTGGAGGAGGATAGACTGGCGGAGGTCGAAAAGTCGCGACGTTCACGCTCTTTCCAGCACAGTTCAAGGGCCTACGACGGGGACGTGCCATTTACAGGTGTCGAACCGATCACCTTCGATATTTCGGAACCATCGGCAGAATGGGAAAGTGGGTACGGGAAAGAGAAGCAGATCGAGAAACCTAAAGGCGGATCACGGTCCGTACGATCTCAAACCGACCCTGGCGGTGTTGGCGCATTTAGAGGCGCGACCAGATGCTATCATGGCTTCTCTTTCTTCCGTGGCATTTTCTATCTCCTACTCAAGTGGAGCGCCTATGGATTCGACAGAGCACTAGGCCGAATCGGCATCAGTGCGCGACCACAATGGCTGAAGATTCTACTCGGGTCACGCAGAAGAGCCCTGCAAGAGAGAAATAAGAGCAGTCGGGCAGAATCGCTGGATTTCTGGATTCTGACGGATGAAGGCGAACTTGAACTTCCTGGAGACTACGAGTTTGATGTAGAGAAGGAAATGCGAAAGAGGGAGCTTTCCATTGCACCGCATTGGGAGGAGTCTGACGAGAAGCGCCTCGATGAGAAGCTCTATGGTTGGTGGAGAGCCGGCGGCTCGTGGGGTAACCAGGATCAAAGTCCCGACTATGTACCCTCTGACAGCGACGATCTTTGTGACACCACCAGCGTTGTATCTATGTCAACAAATGCTGAATCAGAGTGGGAAGACGAGTCTGATGGCCGACGTACACCTACCCCTCGCAACCCATACCCGGAAGTTGTCTCGCGGGAGAGCAGCCCTGTTGACGAGTCGCTGATGGATGTTGGCTCTTTTGCACGCCTCCTCGACCCTCGTGACCAAGAAAGCAGACATGAGGCACGTATCCTAGCTGCCCACCTGGCTGCTGGGCGAGATGGGCGCATTATGACGCGACGTCAATTCCAACAAAAGATGGAGCGCGAGAGAGCGCAGGTTCTTCTATCCTCCCGGTTCTCGCGGCTTTCAGGCCAGCAGACGGGTAAGGAGAAGCGCAAACCAACTCCGGAGGAAGAGTCTGAGATGCTCGAGAACTTCATTCTGGCTCGTCGATCTGAAGCCAATCGTGCAGGTCCTGAGGCGCAGACGTGGGAGTCGGGCGCCTCCGGCCTTGGACCGGACGGTCCACCGTGTGTCATCTGCCAGACCAACCCACGTTCGATCATAACATGGCCTTGCCGATGCCTTTGTGTATGCGAGGAATGCAGAGTGAGCCTTGCGATGAACAATTTCGGCAGCTGCGTGACCTGTCGCCAGGAGGTTGGAGGGTTTGTAAGGTTATGGGTACCATAGGGTTCATCTTTTGCATTATTTGCGTCCGTATCCTATCACAAGTGGCGTGCATTGTGGGTTTTGAACTTGTATAGCGTACTGAAATTGGATTACATCCGCTCTGAAGCGCAACTGATTTGACAGATTAGTGTTTTTACCATGAAGTATAGTAGCTGCATTACTTTAGGCTGCACACCTAGATAGCAGCTCTGATATCAACGTCAAACCTGGCCTTTCATCAACTGGTCTTCTGCGTAGACCAGGCTTGGTTACATTGATTACAACCAATTGTTGCAGGCATTTAAGGGTTGTTTGCTGTTCCTTATGTTCCGAAGGCGTCGCAGAGGGGTCATTACTCTTGAGATCGGACAAGTACGATATTCCATCGAAGTGTGATGTCCTAGTCAGTTTTATGTAATGAATCATAACGAGCGATTGATCGGTAGTCGGGTTGGATGTTCTTAGGGCAGGGGCAACATGTGATGTTGCTGATTATCGATTCTCCACTGAGATTTTCGACCTGCTGATTCTTGAGCTCAGAAGCAGCAGTCATCGTTAAAATTTATCTTATGTCCAAGTTAATTAAGAAGTCTCTCAAGGTTGAGTCGGGGAATTGACGTATTGAAGTGTGAGGTAGCCAATCCGCTTTATAGTCACTCAGATGACAGCAGCATACTGTAGGTAGCATCCAACAACGTCTGATAATATTCCCCTATAAAGAGCGTCATTATTGGAGAACTTTTGTCAGGGCCCTATGCCCTTAGCAGGCAACAAGTACAAAAATACCAGAAACTCAACGCTGTAAGAATAACGCAACGATCGAGATGACTATTAAGTATAGATATACATTCGCATGCGTTCCTGCATAGTGGCCAGGCTTGAATCCCATCCACGTCGTCCCATCCTCGTCTCACCTACAGCAAGTAGAGAGCAGCCGCCGCCACGGCAGCAACACCCGCCACATTGGCCTTGTCGGAACCAGCGTTGTTGGACAGAGTGGTAGTTGCAGAAGCACTGGCGCTGGTAGATGCAGAGCTTGATTCTGTGCTCGTCAAGGTGCGCGTGGTCGACGCAGAGCTAGACGAGTGATGGTGTGAGCTCGAGGCCGGGGAGGAAGAGGTGGTTGAAGAGACTGTCGACGAGGAGGTAGTAGAGCCAGTGGAAGAGGTGGTAGTGGTGGTCACAGTCTGGGTCGACGACTCCGTAGTGGTGGTTGTCTCCGAAGCTGTGGTGCTGGCAGCGCCGACAGAGGGCACAGAGATTGGGTGACCGGCGGCAGAGCACTGGGAGACGACGGCACTGGAGACAGCTGCAAAGATTGTCAGCAGTTGTCTGATGGGTGTTTGTGGACTGAGGCAGACTTACAAGACTGATCGGCAATGTTGCAGGCGCTCTGCACACAAGGCGTGATACTCGGAACAAGGTCAGGCTTCTGGCAGTGGCACGCGAAATCGGTTAAGGATGAGCATCCATCAGCGGAGAGGGCAGAGACGAAGCAGTTCAGCTAGTGATGGAGGTTAGCTTCGGGGGTCATGTTTCTTACTGGTACCCCTTACAGAACAGGCCGGGACATTCGGTAGCTGTGCACTGACAAGGCCAGCAGCTAGGAGGGCGATGGAAGCACGAGAGAAGTGCATATTGGATATGAAGTGCTCAAACCAACTCAGAGGACAAGATTGGACCAAAAAAAGACCAATTCAGAAACGACAGTACAAATGACAAGATACTGAACGAGTGAAGACTGTTGGATGAATGCCATTGTACATTATAGGGGACGGAAGCGTTTTATATATAGCGTAGTCCCAGTCAGGACTGTTGCACCAGACCCTGGACAGCTGCATCACATGCTGCAGTTCAGTCTTGAAACTTTTGGGGGTCAAAGTGATCGACACGTCCAGATCCAGTCGACCCCAGCCAAGCTTGACGTATGCATGTCAAACTTCATCTTATCATTCGTCGCCACTGAGTCGTGTTTGCGGGAAGCTTGTGTAACTCGCAGTCGTTCGAGGACACTGTCCCTTCAATGACTCCGATGAGTTATAAGTCCGAGATGTGTTACATTGCTGTACGCTGTTGAGTGTAAGTAAGGAGACTCTCTCAGGCAATGCAGCAGGATAGTTCGAAAACTCCTCACCTTCTAACATAAGCATCAGGTATAGCAGAAGATGTTCAGGCCATCCATGAATTGGGAGCATTTACTGGGGCAAAATTCCGGAATAATGCGTGGACAGATCCTGGCCAGGAGAAGAATGCCACCAAAGGTTCACAGGGATAGGAAAGCAAGAAACCAGCTATCCAGGCAGGGTAAGGTAGCATTGCATGAATTACCAGCCTGTCGTCCAAGATGATTCATCACACAAATGGGAGCGATAGACTTCAGCCAAAAAGTCAAGATTGATACTAGGTACAGGAGATTGAACAGCTCAGGTGCGGGGGAGACCCTAGATGATCTACTCTGTGACGCCAAAACACTTTACACTCAAGCATTAACTATTATGTCTCAAGTCCGCGTCAAATTGACCAAATTGATGGACCAAGAGTCTAGAAGTACATGATACCTGGCAGAGCTCCACAGGGTGAACTTCACGGTCAGACTGAGCTGGCTGAGATTAACAGTGAAAGAATTACTGTGCAAAGTGAACAACTTTCATCACCAGAGTAGACTCAAGAAAGATTTGGAAGGGACAGCTAAACAGGCTTCGTCATGGTGATACTCCACGACACAGACGGAAAACAATAGGCTTTATCCTTGACCTGGTCGAGCTGGACTGGACAATGCATTAGTACTCTGCGCTGCCGATCACTTCTTTGGAAGCCAGTGCACAACCTGACCTCAGGCGAGAGTGTCGCTGCGTACGTACTCTGAGTAACAATAAGCTATTGCTTCCCGTTAGCTCAGATTAAAATAAAAAAGGGGTCAACTACGGATCGGATACAGGCATGGAGAGAAAAGAGCCGAGTTCATTCGATGCCTTCAACAGCGTCCAGTGCTACAACAGGAAGACTCGAAAATACGTTGGCATCGGAGTTTCCTACGAATGAATTTCGAGCCAAGTGACCTGACTATATGGCTGAAGTACCTTGTTACTAGTGCAGTCAGTCGACTTAGGCTTAGCAATGTCATCAAACCGAGTAATTCCACGTCATTGATTGATTCCTGTCGATGTATAATCTGCATAATAGACCGAACGCCCTGCTTGAAATTGTAAACCCAACGCCGAGCCCGCACCTCATTAACCTCCCAGTTCTTGGTGTAAGTGACAATCATTCATAGAAAGATCCTCAAGACATCAACTCGTCGACGTAAGCTCTCTGCTTCACTGTGTCCTTCTCCTTCAGCAAGACGGCAAGGACTTCGATAGGAGGATTGAGGTTCAGCATCTTCGCTCGTCTCCAGCGCTTTAGCCGAGCAATTCCGATGCATGGCTATATCATGTTAGAGAAGCTCTCAGCGCGGAAAGCGGCAAGTAGTAAAACATAATAGACATACCCCATACTGACTAGACAGGTCAAAATGTCTCAGTATCTTCTCGTGTAATGATAGATCTTCCTGGTGGACTGCTCATCAGGAGTATCGTAAGCATTTCCTTTCCCTCGGCCAAACTTGTTATCATCATCACAATCCGAAAACCCACCTCGAGGCGCCTTCCTTGTCTGCTCTTCCTTCTTCCAATACCGCCGCAGCTCCTGTTCTGTGATCTTGATCGCCTTCTGATCCTCCTCGCACAGTGGTTGCTGGATCTCCTCCCGGGCTTGTTGTCTGACGGCGAGCTCCGCAACGTGCGGCTGTGACGGCTCCGAGGGAGCGACGGGCACTTGATCCGGATCTGGGACCTCTTCGGTCGAGGTCACAGCAGCTGAGATTGGTTCGAGGTCTTTGGTCTTCTGAGATCGTGTCGACGTGGCCGATGGCTTGGTGACTCTGGACTTTCCGCCAAATGAGAGCGTCGATTGACCTGAGCGGGAGGCGGCAGTGTTGCCTCCGCGGCGACGAGTGGTGGGCATATTCAATAGATTCCGGGATATGGATGTAATTTTTGTATTGGAATAGGCCGTTCAAGGCCGATAGGTTGTTGCAGCTTGCAGTTTGTGAGATCTGGTTCCGGTGGATGTGGAGAAAGCGATGTCATGGTGGGCGTTGCACATGGCAACCGAACCGTCAACTGTCAACCAACCATCAACCACTGGCGGAGAGGTACATTTTAATAGTTATGTGGCACTGAGAATATAAGGTATATCTATATGCAACTGAGGATAAGTTTGGGGTACAAACGGTCATAGGTCGAACAATTTGGTTTAGGAACACAGATCTCGCAATACGTTTAAAAGGAAATCTGTAAATCAGTTCTTCAATGCAGGTACCTTATCTCCAGGCCTTAGACTAACATGCCACTATAAATAGCTCCGTGATCAAGTGTAGGACACTCCACGGTGCCAAAAGTTCATCTGTCATCCCCTTATTTCTTTCATTATTTATCATACAAAAGCGAAAACAAGTTAAAGGCTCACGTTGAGTGGTCGCATTAGGCGCAGATTCGGTGCTGTCGGAAATGTAAGCATACCAAGATATATTCTCATACTCCCGGCATACAAGTTGATATCAATGCCGTTATTGGCCAAATCTACTCCATATACATCGCCCATTCAGTACCTGACTGACTCTAGAGATAGGTGGAATAATTCAAGGTCGTTAAGACAGCCGGCAGGTCGTTCACAGCCTTCATACTGTCAGGAAAGCCTAATGCAAACCTGAGTAAGAATAATTCACAATACTACGGGGTTAAGTCTTGGATATGATTGGTGATATATCCAGAGATCGGAATGATCCCGGCGTGCAGCCGTCGTCGCTAACTGTGGGCTGCTGTAGTACGTAGATAAGAATTCTCTAGCCATCAGAGTACTGGAGCTGACGTCGAGTGTTCCAAGTAGAAGAAGCAACGCTGGGGGCTGAATGTTATGTCGGTGCTGTCAGATCGTGTCTAGCTGATGCCTGTGGAGTTGGTATCCAACAAGGCTATGACGTAGACCGCTGAATAGGTACCCTGTTGGACGACGAGGAGCGGCATGGACAGCGCACGATTGCTTAGGTATCTGAATAGTCTTAATTCCTGGCGGGGCTGTAAGGAAATTGTCTGTAGCGTTAGTAGTAGGATGTCTAAATTGCTTGAGGCTCAGTTTGAGTTATCGGTGAGTTCCAGGGATCCCCGTTCCATAACTCTAGACAAAAGGGAACATCAATCAACAATAACGGGTACATAGTCAAAGAGGAAAGTGTTTTCTCCGAGTCGAGTCTGCGGCTGAAAGATACCCCTCCAATACCCCTGAGAGGTAAGGTCATGTCATAATCTAGCCCTCGTGTTGGATGCCGATCGTCGCGAATTGTAGCGAAGCGAGGCCTGGGGCAGTTTTGTCGAGTTCGAGAGAGAAGCAGAAGTCCTGGACTTAGCCGCTCCAAATGTTCCCCATCACTCTCCTCCCCCCACATCGGCGCCAATAAACAAACCGCCTCTACGACCTCTACAGCCATTCAACTTCATCATCGCTGAAACAGTACCACTATCCGTCCTTCTGCGATTGACTCACCGTCTCGATACCGAAGCTGCACACCCCACACCCCTATCGACGAGCAGCTTTTACCGCTTACTCTTGAATCCGTGACTGCACCTCCTAGAGCCACATCCGTTCAGTGCACCTGCGTCATTGTAAGACCCTTGGCGCAGATGCGATTAAGCGGGACTGCCTGATCGTCCGTGGTCTCTATGAATTATCAGCAGTTAACAACGTCCCTCGAGTCGCATAATCTCCGCAACAACCCCGGAGCGCATCCCTTCCAACCGCCGCGTGCCCATGGTGGTGCGGGTACAGCCCTCTCACTATGGCCGCCTTCGTGCGAGTGTCAGGCCCGCCGAACGGTAATTTTCTGATCGGCTACCCTGGTATCTCTGCGACTATGGTAAGCGCTGGCTAGATTGGGTTGAAACTGTGAGAGATTAACGTTTTGAGGCAGCCGCGAATTGAAGGTAAAGTCGAAATCAGACCCAGCGCTGGCATCACCGCACCCGTCAATATATCCCTCGTGACGGTATCGCTCCACCGCCGCGAGACAATACACCCGTCAGCAGACTCCGTGACCAAGAAGCATCTTGCGCCCCCTAGGAAGGAATTAACTGATATTGTCGGCAAGGAGATGCTGCTTTTTCGCTGTCCGGCCGGTCGAGAATATGAGGAAGTAATATCCATGGATCTGCCTTTTGTCCTCTTCATCCCGTTCGGACGTGGTGGATCGGACTCTTCAAGACGCGTTCCTCCGGCCAGCCTGCAACTCCCCAGTCGCACTGCGGAGACATACTACGAAATTGTCGTGACGGTCCAGCAGGGACAATCGGAACAAAGGAAGTATGCATTTCCAGTACCGATCTCACGATACGACACACTATCCACGTTTGGAATGTACAATCGCCCTGAGTCGGCGGAACGGGTGACAGATCATTTGGTGACTCTAGGAATCTCGTTACCACGATGGTCTTACGGCCCTCTCGACCCCGTCAGCGTCTACGTCAAGCTATCACCAAATCCGGACTGGATGACCAAAGCAAGGAAAGTCACAATCAACAAGATTACAATTGGTATCGATGAG